GAGCGAGAGAGAAGGGGGAGAGAAGGGGAGAGGGGAGAGAGAAAAGGGGGGGAGAGGGGGAGAGAAACAGCACTGGGCAATTACCTTGAGTCTCAGTGTTCTGGGAACAGCTGTGTACCAACAAGACAAAACCTCCCAAAAATATCAGCGCTCATGTCCCCTAGGAAAATGTGTGTGGTCGGAGAAGAAAAGTTACCTGTGATTCTCCTCTGGTGAGCATCCTGAGATAATTGGTCACTCTCTTGGATTTCTTGCTAATTGAGTGAATGTTCAGTTTCGACAATTTATCTTTCAGGGACCCGTCCTCCTCGGCCCTCTTGTATTTCAGCACTGAAAGGGAAGAATGCAAGGTCACATCTGGCCACGTGCAGCACAGACAGTGCCTTTCACCCAAAGTATTCAAGACCGACGTTTGGATTTAAAACACAAATCCATGATTTGGGCTCCCTGTAGCAGGTGCCGTGTGCGCCAGCCCCACGGCCCAACCCTAACTCCAGCGGCCCGCCCACTGTCCTTCGGAGACTCCGCTGTCCCCGGGTGCGAGCCCCTCAGAGCCCCAGGTCCGCATTAAAGGAACCCCAGGCACTGAAGCAGGGCTCTCCCTCTCCGCTCGGGTAACAGATTACTCTCTGGGCTCTCGAGTGAAGCATCGGGACCAGCCGAAGGAGGCCTCAGATCCTAGCCTGACTTTCTACTAGCAGAGAGGCTTGGGGTAAACTGAGTTGCCTCTCTGAGCTTTACTCACTTTATTTTTATTTTTTAGAGAGAGAGGAAGGGAGTAGAGAGAGAACTGCAGCCTCGAACCAGCTGAGCCACCAGGCGGGGACTGGGCTGTTCTTTTTTTATCTTCAAAATCACTTTCGCCTCTCATAGCGTTCAAATGTTAAATATCCCCAACACTCCTGCTTGGTAAGGGTGTGGAGAAATGGGCAACCTCACATACTGTTGGTGAGGATTAAACTAGCACAGTTTTGGTACAGAACAACTTGGCAGAACCTTATAAAAATTAAAATATTCATAGTCTATGACCAGGAGGTCCACGCACAGAAATCTGCTTTCCAGAAGCCTACGAAGTTGTGTTTGCTGCAGCATTTTTTCTAATAGCAAAACGTTGGAGACCATCTAAAAGTATGTCCTAGAGGAATCGTTTAATAAATTATGACAGGCTCGTAAGTGGAATACTGTGGAACCATTAAAAAGAAGAATGTTCATGCTATATGATTGAGTTTTTCAAAAGTCAGCAAACTGTAGCATGTCATACATGTTGCAGAAAGGAAGGAAAGAAGAAAAAAGAGTGAGAAAGTAGGGGAAAAAAACCCCAAATATGAAGAAAACGATAAAATCTTAGCTATGCAAACTAGAATCATGGGAGAGGGAAAGGTTTTATCTTTAAAACTTTGACATAGTTTAAGCAAACACAAAAGTAAAAAAAATAATATTACGGCTATTATCTGTCTCCAACCTTTGTCAATTCTTTAACTTTGCCTTGTTTCCAATCTTTTAATTAAAAAACCACATAACAGGTGAAGCTCCTCTGAACCCCATCTTTAATTCCTACAGGAATTGTGATCCTAAATAATGAGTTTATTATATCTGTACCTATTTTTATACCTCTATTGTATATGTATGCAGTAGTACAATACATGGTATTTTTTATTAATTAATTTTTAAAATATTTTTTATTGATTTTAGAGAGAGGGGAAGGGAGAGGGAGAGAGAGATAGAAACACTGATGAGAGAGAAACATCGATTGGCCGCCTCCTGCACGCCCCCTACTGGGGATCAAGCCTGCAACCCGGGCATGTGCCCTGATGGGGAATCGAATAGGTGGCTTCTTGGTCCATAGGTCAATGCTAACAACTAAGCCACCAAGGCTGGGCCATAGTATTATTATTTTATTTATTTATTTATTTGTATATCTTTATTGATTTCAGAGAGAGGAAAGGAGAGGGAGAAAGAGAGAGAGACAGAAACATCAATGATGAGAGAGTCACTGATCGGCTGCAGCCCACAACCCGGGCACGTGCCCTGACCGGGAATCGAACCCTGATCACCTGGATCCTAGGTCGATGCTTAACCGCTGAACCACGCCCGGCCGGGCAGTATTATTTTGAATGATGTCAATCTTTATGAAAATGGTACCAAATTGCATATATTCTTCTGTCACTTGATACTTTATATATTTTTTAAAACCTCCACATTATTTTGCTTTATCCAATTGATATACTTTAATTAAATATACTTTAATTAATTTTTATAATGTTTGTAGTCTCATGATATCACAGGGTATAATACACAGTTTACCCATTATCTGAATAAATATGTAAGCCATTTCTTTTCTTTCTTTGGTTTTCTTTGCTATTATGAACAAAACTATTACCAGTAGTTACCAGTACACCTCTCTATTAACTATGGGCAAGAGTTTCTCAAATATCTAGAAATTGATTTTCTGGGTCTTGGGTGTGTGAATCTTTAACTTCACTAGATATTGTCAACTGTCCTTAAAAGTGGTGATTCCAATTTGCATTCTCACCTCCAGACTGAACTTCAGCACTTAACGCTGTCCATTAAAAGTCTTTCTGCCAATGATAGGCTGAGAATGATATGTCATTGTCATTGTAATTTGCATTTCCCTGATTATTAGTGAAGTTTAGCATTTGAAAACATACTGGTCTTTCTGTAAACTGCTTATTTTTATTTTTAATGGGTTTTTGTATTCGAATGTTTTTATTATTGATTTAATACCAGTAATTATATATTCTAGATAGTAATCTTGTGTCTATGGGCTGTCTTTTCATTTTGTTTGTGGTGCCTTTTTCTCTACAACTTTCACTTTTTACTCTATGCCCTTTATAATCTGAATTTATTAATACAAATACATACCACTTTTGAATTTAAAAAATTAGAAAATAAAATAATAAAAATAAGTGAAGTGGTTTGACAGCCCCAAAGTCCTGCCATTGCTTTAATGTTGAATTGAGAGCTAATGTTAGAAGTACAAAGCCAATTAAAAACTCACACTGAGAAAGGACCCATGAGCCAACCCAATGCACCACTACATCCAGATGAGAGGATCAGTATAATTATGCCTCCTGACTTGAAATCTACAATCTACTTTGGACACCAATTTTACAACTGAGTTAACAAAGAGTTAACAATAATTTGTTGACTTGAGAAAAAATATACTTGCCCCTTTCAGTGGAACAATTGTTGTACCCCCCAAATCTGCATCCTTTGTGTGCCAGAACCAAGTGAGCTGATGTGTTAGCTGGGCCCCCTCACCTGGATCTTCCCCTTTCCCCACTAATTTTTGGCTCTAGCTTCCCAGGGCTCCAGCTATCCAGCCTCACCGTGTCTCCTTCTCACCACACATACTGCCAGCGATGGGAAGACTCTACGCTATGGGTACCTTCGGCCCACAGTATGTCATCAGGCCTGCAGTGGCCACAAGAGGTTGACTATAGGACTGATTTTTTTTTAATGGTCATGTTTGTGCCTCATGATCTTCTCCTGAACCCAGCTGGCAAGGCAAAGCCACACTCTCTTCCTGAGCTCCTAACTCTAGAAATCAAATGAGCATGATCGCTACCACTGCTGTAACTTCTCAGAAACACGAACAGAGCACGCCAGTCACGGAAAGCACCCAATTCATTCCTCGTGTCTCTTCTTACCCAAATCCTTCCGTCTTTTAAGCTCGTTGATGTTGACATTGATGTCCTTCACTGCGGCGAAGGCCTCCTCCACGGCCTCGAAGTCCGGGTGAGAGGCGGGGGTGGAATTGCGAAGCTCGCACAGCAATAGGGGGTATTTCGTCACACGCTGAATCGGCTTGATCATCAGGGAGCTCATGTTTGTTAGGTTCGGCTTGCCTCTACAATAGAGATAAATGATGTCAGTTTTGTGAACAGTTGTTTTATTAACTCCTTTTAAGTTTTGTGATTTTTTGAAAAGATTAATCCTGAAAGTTTTCTTCTTCCCCACCCCATCCATTTGGCTACGCACGATTTCCAAAGGAAAGCAAGAGCCGTGGGTGACAGAGAGAAGCAAGGCTGAAAGATCCTACTAAACAAAAAACGAAAACAAACAAACAAAAAAACAAACCACGAGTATAGCTGTCCACCAAAAAGATTCAAAGCATCGTTTCCATCCATGTCGCATTTACAGGTTTTCGTTAATAACAGGCTTTAAAATAATAGAGGGAAACAAGCAATGCCGGAATGCATTTTTTCCATGACAACCAAGAAAAAAGCTTTTTACAAGTGGTATTTTTTGTGATTATTGGTGAGGAAAATAAACTCATCATTTAAAACTCTAAACAGATGACAAGTATTGTCAAAAGAAAGCATTGTCTTCTCTCTTTTACCAAATTGAGAAGTTGCATTTATATTGTTCCAGAGGTCTTTTCAGTCCCCAAAGGAGATTTGTGATGAATGCAATAGTTCTGTGCATATTGTTAATGCCATCGCTATCACTAACTGTTGCTGTCCTGCAGTGGCTTTCCGTGTGGATTGCTCTCCGCCAGCAGATCTTCAAACGGCTGCATGAAAGGGAAGCCTCCTGCCCGACTATAAGCTCGATCGGGTCTCTGTCCAACCCACTCTCGCTCATTTTCCAGCCAGGACGCAGTCGTTTCTAAAAACCTCTTCACGCAAAGGGGCAGGTAAAGAGACATTGTAACTGAAACATGGATGAAAATCATACTTTGAGTCCCTTCTGCTGGAGGGATATATTTATTTGTTTTATGTTTTTATTTAGCAGATAGAAAAAACAGTCACTGTTTTCAAATCCTGATAGGTGGATTTTTCATTCAATTATTATTTTCAAGCACTAATATGGATAGACAACAGATCACATAATTGGAATAATGAAATGAATCTAAGTAACGCTGAACAAAATTAGAAAATTGCATCATTAGAAAAGATCTGAAGGCACCTTAGAGATCATCTAATTGAACCCTTCATTTGAAAAATGAGAAATTAGGGAACTTTGATTATCATGTGTACATGCATACATGTGCACACACACACACCAGTCACTATCACACCTTCTTACTATTTCACTTTTTCATAGCACTTATCATTATCTGAAATCATCTTGTTTCTCTGTTCTCCCGTTTATGCTCAGTTTCCCTGCCACCACTACAACTCCAGCATGATATATACTGTTCTCTCAATGAATATTTGTAGACTGAAGTGAGAGATTTCTCAGATTTTTTGTAATGTGCTTTTATTTTATACTGAACTTATTCCCTGCCCCACCCTCCCAAATTTCCAATGGTTCTAATGACTGAGGAATTTTGTTCACATGCTGAGCAAAAGATGATATATATCATAATAGAAACAAAAATTGAAGTAGACCAAAAGGTAGCTTTTTTTTTCTTTCAGGAAAACCAAAATAAAAAAGGTTTTCAAGGGAGTAAAGGGTTGCTTTTACGATGTATCTTGTACTTTCTACCCATTTGCACCAAATCTATTAAGGAAGGGAGGTAAGGAGACAAGGTGGCAAAAAAGCAATGAGGGGAGAGGGAGAGAGAGAGATGTTATTGGTTTCCAAGATAACTGGGTGACACAGATGGAGAAAAATGTAAATATTATGAATACTAAAAAAATCAAAATAAAAATGTATTTCCTAACTGATGGTGTGTCAATAGCTGAACCTTCAAATACTAAGAACTCATTTTCTTAGGTGTCTTAAGCAGAGATTCTTTAACAATACAACAGTTTAGAGACTTAAGTAGGAACAATTCCCTTATATAAGAACAAGCCAGGAATATAGAAGATATTAACTATAAAAAACCATATTACCTATATGAATATGATCAGAATTTCTGAGTTTTTCCTTTGACTATCACCAAGTATTAGTTTATTTAATCTTCTAACGAACACTGGACATACCATCAAAATATAAATATAATCAAATGATTCCAAGACAACTCAGTTTTGACAAGATAGTTTATCAGTGTGGTCCACTTACTTTATTTTTAAAGATCCCCAGATATATTAAAGGATATCCTTGTATCTTGGAGCTGCCCTCCTTTCTTCTTAATTAAGACCTGTCAAAAACCAAACTAGGCCCTTTTAGTTGTGCCCAGATCTCATCACTACTTTTTTTTCCATCACTCTTTGGCATCAAAGTTCTATTCTCTCCCTTTTATGTTTCAAATGACAATGATAACAATAATGAATGATTACTGTTTCTCTTAAAAGCATCACAAATGCAAATATTAAAAAGGCTCTCTCAAAATCAAGAAGTCTCATTTGTCTTCAGACATGCACTTTGGACAGTTGCCCAAGTGATGAACACTGATGTTCTGATATCTGCATCACATAGACAAGCAGTGTGGTCAAGAAAACAGAGGGTGTGCTATGAGATAATGACCCTCCAGGCATTGAGTGCCACAAAGCTCACCCATCTAATCCCTCCCAATTAAATTAAGTTCTGATAACTTCGAGGCAGATGCATCCTATGTGTGATAAAACCCAGCTCAGCCAAGCAACCAATTACCAGGTACCTCCCCCGCAGAAAGTAACTGAATGTGTAACAATTCCCCATACATACTGGGCTAAAAACTAAGGTGGTTATTAATTTGAAATTCTGTTTCATCTTCCTCCCTCTTATCATGAGTACTTTGGCAAGTATTTAGCACCATAAGTAGCTACACTAATCTCATTAGAAATTATTATTGGGACTTTACAAAGTCAAGTAAACACAGCTGGCTTTGTTTTAGCAGCATCTAGTTTGGCTATAAAGAGCTACACATCAATACAAGAAAACAGTTCCACAATGAAAACAAAAATGACATTTAAACAATGTAAAAAGTATGAGGGAAAACAAAAAAATCAGATATTCAATACTGAGTCATATCTGTATTTCTTAATTAGAGGGAGAAAATGAGAGAAAAGAAAAATAATCATGTAACTATTGATCATATTACTTTGAATTTCCTCTATTTTATGACCATAAGTATCCTAAATTTAATATTTCATTTACAGTACCCACAAACCAACTATACCAGTATTGATTTTTTTCAATGTACAGTATTCCCCTTTTAAAACACATTAAGTCAATTTTAGAGGAAACTGTATATTCCTACAAATAATAAGCACATAACAGTTGCCATAAGTTAAAAATAGCTATGAAAATAGATACAGAACTATCAATAAATTTTAGAAGATGTAAAGGAGATGAATGAATAATTGATATAGCAGACCAGAGAGAACCAGAAATATGGAGAGGTAATAATTTAATCATTCTTCCAAAAGTTCATTAATTAGACTTCTTGAGAACCTATGGTAGTGGGGGGAGAGAGAGAGAGAGAAGAGACTAGAATAAGAAGGGACTAGTTGAAAACCTGTTTAAGAAACAGCCCAATTCTTAGGGAACAATACCAACAAAGGAGATCCTCTGGTGGACTGAGAAAGACCTCTTGGAAGTGAAAGGATAACAGCAGAAGTAAAAACTCACAGTGCTGGAAAAAATGTTCAGGAACTTTCCAGAGAGAAGAGCAAAAATACAAAGGGATTGAAAGTAAAAATAAAAAATGCAGAAAATTAGAGGACTGTTCTAGGAGAGCCAATATCAAAATAATGAGACTCCCAGAAAGAGAGAACAGAGAACATGTGGGGAGGAAATCATGAGTGAAATAATTCGAGACGAAAACATAAGTTCGCAGGCTGGGGATCCAGAACAATGGATGAAATAGATTCAGACCTTGGCATTCATGAAACTTCAGACTGTTGGGGACCAAGAGAAGATCCCGTAGTCTTCCAGAGAAACACATAAACAAACAGGTACATACGATTAGGAACCAGACAAGAATTCAGATTTCTTGTAGCAACACTGAAAACCAGAAAACAATGAGAATTACCGTTGAAATGTGAAGATGAATGATTTTCAGTTTGGAATTCTCTACTGTTTGGAATTCAATAGTTTAGAATTCAAACTATAAATTAAATATGAGGGTGAAATAAAGATATTTTAGATATAAAATTTCTTAAAGTTTTACTTCCCATGCATTACTTGATGACTAGAAGAAACTGTGGAAGGGCACTCTACCAAAAACAGGAAAGAGGCCAAGAGAATCCCTAGAATGATGGGAGGAGAATTTCTGAAAGACAGCTGTGCCCAGTGTCACCAGGACAAACTCAAGAGGCTCTGGGGGAAGCTTTTTTAAGGAGAAGAAGGTGATAGTGTACATAATGCACCTGGCAGGCCTGAAATATGACTGGCTGTGAGTTTGGCATTAATGACTAGCAGAAAGAAAACTAAGAAAATGAAAAAAAAAAAGACAATAATTAACTCCCAGAAAAACAAGTAATCATTTATCTCAAGGTTTAGCTCTGAAAAGAAATTTACTCACATATAATAATCCAAACACTGATTATTGCTCTACTCCAAATTATAATGTAACTAGGTGAGGAGAGGAGTGGAAAGGTGGAAAGAATGTGCGAGTGTGTGTATGTGTGTGTGTGTGGTGGAGACAGGGTAGGAAAGAAAGGTAAATAATTGTCTCCTACATAATACCCAAAAAGGCAAAGCCAAAGATGTTTTTAGAGTCAGGAAGATAAATTCCAAAAGAGTCAACTAAAAGGTGTGAAATTGCTTGTGTTCTTGTGAGGAGCATTTAGCAGCAGGTAGGAAGGAAGGGGACTACTATTTTTCTTAAATCCTGTAGAACTATTTGGTTTTTTAAGCCATGGTACACATAATTTTTAAAAAAGAGAAAGTTTTTAAAGAAGGAAACATGCAAGAATATCCAAGACATTCTGAAAGGAAGAATGCTGAGCTGAGATTAGTTAGGCCTGGTATTAAAATACAAAGCTGCAAAAATGAAAGCAGTTCGGTATGGACAGATGATTAGCACAAAGTAGAAAACCAAGAAATATATGCAGGTATGTATGGAAATTAATTACATGGTAAGTATGACATTCATACTCAGTGGAAAAAAATTATTCAGTATCGGGTGTTGTGATAATTAGCTACTCACATAGAAAGAATAATAAAAATAAATTCTTTACACCAAAATAATTTCTTGCTAGATCAAAGATTTAAATGTTAAAAATGAAACTATACAATAACTTGAAGAAATCATAAGATTATGCTTTAAAAACATTCTTGGAGTTTCTAAGCAAGACACAAAATCCAAAAGCCACACTAGAAAAAAATGATAAATCTATTAAAAATTTTACTCTATAAAATTGTACAGAGAAAAACAAAAACAGGAAAAAACCCCATAAAGTATGTTAAAAATAAAATGAAAAGCTGAAAAAATTATCTATAACACATAAGACAAAAACAAAAAATTTTAATACATTTGCTAATTAGAGAACCATTATCAATCTGTTGGAAAAAGATGAACATCTCAATGAAAGTGAGCAATCAATAAAAAAAAATTTATTAGAAGTGAAATGCAAATGCTCAAGCATACATGAAAAATGCTCAAGATCATCATTAATGAAAATTAAAACAATACATGACTATTTTTGGCCTATTACCTTGCCAAATGTTGCAAAGATACAAATATTAATTGTATCTAGTGCTGGCAAGAAGCAGATAAATGGACAACTCATATGTGGGTAGTGGGAATATAAATTAGCTCAACTTTTCTGAAATTTTCTGGTAATAAGTACCAAATGCCCTTTGCTTTAGTTATCCCACTTTTAGAAATTCATCCTAAAAAAATGATCGAATTATTGAACAGAGATCATGTATAAGAATGAACATGCAGCATCAATCTTTACAGATAGATAGACACAGTTCAAGTATCTATAAGGCAATGTTATCCTAATTAACTCTGGAATGTGACCACCCATTTTCTTTACTGTCCTCATTTTAATTTCCTGTTTTACAGTGTTTCATATATATATATATTTATATTTATATATTTATATTTATATATTTTTTATAATACATATATATATATTTTTAAATATATATATATATATTTTTAGATAAATAGAAACTCTGAGATGCAAAAGCTGGAATAGCTGATCAGACAGAGAACACATACAGAGCAGTATAAAAACATGAAAATCCAACACTGCATTTCCGGAGACAGTTAAATTTAGAACAGGCATGTTGATCTTGCTTTAGAACATGGGATTGTGTCAGATTTTTTTTTTGGGGGGGTGACTTTTTGGTGGCAGATTCTTTGATTCTTGTCACTTTAATACTGTCTTTGATGTTTGCCTAAAATTGCAATTCAAAGTAATCCTTTTAGAAATTATAAATATCTTTGCCTTTCTCTGTACTTTTAAAAATGTAGATTAAAAAAAAAACAACCCAGAAAATGTTGTTTCCATAAGTAAGGGATTGTTTTTTAAGCCATGAAAACCCAGCCCTCCTAAATAGGCTCTGGGCCGCTACATCCCTGGCCTCCGCTGCCAAGGAGCCTAGCGATTACACAGCACTTGAGGTCCCCTTTTACCCTTGTATGTTGCAGCTTGTGCGCCCCCTGACCCGAGCGAAGGAAGAAAGCTCCCTGCAGAAGCGCCTTTGATGTTCATCCAGCCGCACGCTCCGAATACGCTTCCTCTGTTTCGGTCCTTGATGTATAGAATGGGCTGAGGGGGACACGCACAGCCTGCTAACTCCCACACCGCAGGATCGCGCAAAAGCTAGTGCAATTTTTTAAGCAAGTATTTCAATCCAATGTACTGTTCGTTGCAGGTATTCTGTATGGAGCAGCCTGTGTGTGCTAACTGTACAATAATTCAATCTCTCACTCTCCTCCTCTGAATCCCTCCCTCCCTCCCTCTTTCTGTCCCTCGGTTCCTGCTCTCTCTCTCTCTCTCTCTCTCTCTCTCTCTCTCTCCCTCTCTAAGACCTAAACCAACTTTGTAGTCTGTGAAGTTCTTCTCTAGGCATCCAGCTCTGTGCGTCTCCAGTCCTGGGCATGGTGAAGCCAGGGGCACAGGCTTTAGAATGAGTCAGCAGTCCCTACCCCTGCCCCCCATCCCCTCAGCTATCACTGGAGGGGAGCCAGGAAGGCCCAGGTGTGGAAGGACCCAAAGGCCCTCTTTTCCTATAACCCACATCTACAAATGCAAGTGATCCCGCATTTGGGAACTCATTGAATAAACCTACTCATATCTATTTATACTGTAGGGATTTTTTTAAATTTTTTTGTGTGAAAGGAAAGACTTATAAAGTGAGAGAACTCGGTGCTTGTTTGGTGTGTCAAAAACTAACTTCTCAGCCTGGCTGAGGTATAAAGCCTTAGCCCGCAGGCCTCCTGGATGATGCCTGACTCTTCCACTCACTCTGGAATTCTGTCTTTCCTCATGGTTGTTCTGCACAAAAGCATGAATGGCAGCTATTGACAGGTTAAATTAATATAAATTTTCCTTTGTAAATTTTGTATTTCTTGATGTAAAGTTTCTGGAGTAGGACACACACACACACTCACACACAAAGACTAGGAACTCAGGACCTTAGTTACTGACCACACTAAGCAAAGCATGTGCTTTTTCAAGTCCTATTTTGAGTTTGTATGTAAGTTAATATCACCCTTTCAGTATTAGTTGGGCTAAATATTCTTTTCTTATATAAAAATGGGCATCTTCAAAGGTAATTTCTATACTGTCTTAGTGACCAACTATTTCATCTAAATATTTTATTTTCATTCTGTATATGTGGGTATAATTTTTTCATTGTAAATCATACAAGAATCCAATTGAGAAGAAACCCAATATTTTACTATAATGCATAAGGAGTCTTTTCTTTTGTACATTACTCTGTGGAAACTTTGAAAACCTTATGGTATTAATCTGAGATTTTTTTTTTAAGAATAATGTTCTTAGGAAAAAATGTTTGGACACATTAAGATTCCTAAACATATGTGTGATGAGCAGTTCCTAAAGAGTCCCTGGCACCAGCAAACTTATGACTTAAGTAAATTATATCCCAGGATTCTTCTAAAAGTTTAGTAAAGTACATGTAATAAAAATTTAATATAGAAGATCATCTCAGACAAACTGGAAATAAGTGCACAAGTAATGCCTACAGCAAATGCCTTCAAATCTTGATTTACTTATTAAAAGCAATAACGTAATTGTAAAAACTAAAAGGTATAACTTGTAAAGAAATATTCAACAGCTTTTCCTCATGATTTTTACATTTTTTTATTAAGATAAAAGTACTTACTCTTGCATATATATGTTCCTGTAAGAGAAGAAAAAAAAGTGAATTCATGTAAATCCACATATTTGAGCTAATATACAAACATTATACAAAATTTTTAAAATTTTATTACATAAAGTAATATCATTTCCATGAATGTTTTATAGAATTGGCCTCATCATTTTATAATCATGTCCCTAAAAATGTATTTTAGTATGCTTGCACCATTTTTGTTTTACTCTTTATAGTGTAAGTTTAAAAACTGTTGATTGAGATTACAGTTAGCAAATTTTCATTATCTGAAAATGGATTTAACCGCCAACTTTTGTTTACATGATAGAAAAAAAGGACCTATTAAACATGATAGGAAAAACTGACACCACCAGATTACAAGGGAAAGTGACTGATGTGCAGCAAACTATGCTCTGTAATATCTTTGCATATAGTGTGATGCAGGTTATAAACAATTCACTTATTCAAAAACTTTCACCAGCATTGCCAGCTCTGGTGGCCTCCCTTTGCTCAAGTAAAGCTGAAGTCCTTCCGAAGCAGTGTGCTCTGCCTCTCCTCCCACCTCCTCTCCACCCCC